GAGAAATGTCTCTTCATATCCTCTGCCCATTTTTTAATTGGGTTGTTTGTTTTTTTGGTGTTGAGTTGCATGAGCGTTTTGTAAATTTTGGATATTAACCCCTTATCAGATATATCATTGACAGATATCTTCTCCCGTTCAGTAGGCTTCCTTTTTGTTTTGTTGATGGTTTCCTTTGTTGTAAAAAACATTTAAGGGTGGTACCCTCATTTTATAGTTGAGGGAATGGAGTCTCAAAGAGATTCAGTAAGTTCTGTACCTGAAGCCATCCAGCTAGTAAATAGCCAAACTAGAAATCCCACTTTTCTGACTTGGGGCTTTTTCTGACTACAAAACCCTTGATTACAAGCACTGCTCAGTTTAGCAGGAACACCGTTTGGGCTGTGCAGAGGTGGGAGGAGCCCAGCTGCATACTTGGCTGCCAGTCCTTTTTTTTTTTTTACCCAGGTTGAAGAACTTCACTCTGAAATCAAAGAGCTCAATGCTGCCTTTGCGAAAGCCAGAGAGGCCCGCCAGAAGACCCAGGTAGGTGTGCACTTTGGCGGAAGTTGCTGTCTTTTTGCTCCACATGCCTGGGGGGGTCAGGACTTCGCAGCTAAAAGGGACCAAAGGAAACAAACTGTGTGGTCTTTAGTAATAGAGCCAGCTCGGGCTAGTCCAGAGGACATTCTCTAGCAGCTCCGGGTGTTTCTCCAGCCCCCTTATCGCTACGATAATGATAACACTATTGATAATGATGACAACTGCCCCTCAGTGCCAGCAGTAGACAAGCAAGATGTGTGGATTATCTTATGTAATTGTCACAACCCTGGGGGGAAGGCACTTATCCCCCTTGCATTTGGGCGTTTTTTGAAGCTCAGCGAGGGTATGCAGCTTGTTTACTGTCACACAGCTAGCAAGCGGCAGGGCCAGGATTAATGCAGGAATCGCTCATAGTAACAGCTGGCATTTACTGAACGTATACGGTGTGCCAAGCCCTGTGCTGAATGTGCTCCATGGATTCGCTCAGTGAATCTGCACCACAGCTCCATGAAGTAGGCGCTATTGTATTATGAACATCCTCGTGCTGCTCAGGAAGTCCAGGGTCCGGGATTCAAGGAGCTTGCTCAGGTCACACAGGTGGTAAGAGATAGACTAGGGTTTGACCCCAGAGCCAGGCGCTCTCCCAAGCCTGTGTTTCCACCTCTCATCCCACAGCTCCCCTCCTTGGCTGCTTCAGCCCCACCTGTCCCTGTCAGGTGTCTGTTCAGGCCTTGATGACTTGACCTGCCTTTTCTCTTTTTTTCCTCCATGTTGTCCTGCAGGGACTCCTGCTGGTCATCACTTTCTTCCTCTCTTGCTAATTGTAGTTGTTTTTAATTAGTCTAACGTTTTCTTCTCATGTTTCCATTTCCCCTGTACAGTGTGTACCTGTTATTATACTAATAACTTAGTAAAGCCCATCACCTGAGTGAGTCCAGATTGCCTCAAGTCCCCCCACACACACACACACACCGCCACCCGTGTTGTTTTTAGCTGTAAAGTAGGAGTTAGAAGTCAAATCTAATTTGAGACTGTTTGAGTCCTAAGATCCATCTCCCATGCCTTTTGCAAAACTTTGGGTCACAGTAAGAATAATGGAAGTGATTTGGTTTAAATGCTGGTACACTAGAAGCGTAGGAAAATCCCTGTCCTGGAATCTCAGGCTTGCCTCTCCCTACCTTGCTGACAGTGGTCGATGAAATGGAGCTGAGATGATAGTTTTTCACTGAGTTTTTTGTTTTTTTTCCCTTGCTTAGAAAATAACAAGCTTTAAAAGCTGAAGTATTAGGAAAGCCATTCATATTTCTCATTGCTTGAAAAAAAAATTGGTGTCATCAACAAATACCGTAAATGTTTAAATAAAAAAAATTATTACAGTAAAAGACACATTGCCATTAATCTCCCTGAAAATACTCCCCCTCGCTTTGAATACACTTATCCCATCGTTTTTGCCACTTTCTGAAGCAGTTCTGGAAGTCCTCTTTTGTGAGTGTCTCTACTTCAGCCTCCATCATGACAACGCTCTGTGTCACACATCACTTCTGGTATACAGCAATTTCTGTCAAAAACATTACGGTGTGTCCTCATCCACCTTAATTCACCGGATCTGGCACTGTGTGACTTCTGTCTCTTCCCCAGAGTCAAAATGCTTCAGGACATCGTGGTAGCCACGACAACGCAACTAAAGACACTCTTGCAAGAGGACTCCTATAAATGCTTCAGAAAGTGGCAAGAACGATGGGATAAGTGTGTTCAAAGCGAGGGGGTGTATTTTGAGGGGGATTAATGGCAATCTGTCTTTTACTATAATAATTTCTCTTAAACATTCACCGTATTGTTTGATCACACCTCGTATAATCAGTGCTTAATAAAAGGTAACTGAAAATTGCTCAAGATGACCATTTTCCCAGTCATTGTTTATTTTCTTTTATTTTTTGAGTTTATTTACATAAGCACTGCCCCAGATACTTTTTTTTTTTTTTGACTTATGATCTAGGTTTTCCACTCGTTTTTATTTATTTTAACTTTAAGGGAAACTAATTTAAAGGAAGCTTCTATAAAACCTACTATGAAACTTGAATCGCGTTCTCCCTCGGTGTCTGTTGCTGTGTCTTAAATAGCAGCTGGGGAAACGTGGGACCAGATGGTTGGGCTGTAGGGGGCTCAGGAACGCAGCGCCCCTCCACCTCCAGATGAACTAGGCTGTAGCCCCCTCTCCTGAACAACTAAGACATGCCTATTGGTGGTGGCGAAGATGGATTTCCTGGAAAGGTCAATGAGTTGGAGTCAGTCCCTTTGCTCCACAGTCTGAGTCGTGACCTTGACAGCTCAAGAGCTCCTTTTGAATTTTTAACCTTGAACTCAGTGTCACTGAAAGAACAGATTTTAAAAATATAAGTATTATTTTCTTCTGATTGTAGATAGTATATATGCTTCAAACTTCCCCCCCCCCCCCAGAAGACTAGAAAGAAGGAACAAAAGGGAAACGAGGAAACCACCTAACTACTATTAACATTTTGATATTTTTCCTCCTAGGCTTTCTTCTATGCGTGAATTTTATTTTTTAGATCATTGACAATTTGGTTTTTGTTTTTTTCATGTAACTTTGTGACTTAGAAATATTCCCATGTTATCAACTCTTTGTAAATAGTTTTAAGATTTCTTTGTGTAGCTTTATCATTATTTTTCTTCTCCATTTTCATATTCTTGCACATGTATGTTGTTTCTCACTTTTTACTGTTCTAACTAATTCTGTGATGAATGACTTTGTGTACAGGGTTCCCCCCTGCGCCCCCCCCCCCCCCCCCCNCCCCCCCCCCCCCGCCCGCATATTTTGAATTCTTCCCCTGATATTGAATCCTAGGAATGGAATTATTGGATGAGTGTGAACATGTTTATATAATACACACATACTTCACATATATAGAATCTGTCCACCAGGAGTTATATCAATTTACATTCCTGCCAGCATGTTTCCTGGCTTCTAGATGATTCTAGTTCTTGAAAAGCGAGAATCAGTTGTGCCATTTCACAATAAGCTCGCCAGCACTGAATAGTTGCATGAAAACAATCCTAAAATGCTTGTTTTAATTTGCTCTTTTTTATTATTGGTGAGTTATAACATCTTTTCATAAGCTTGATAATCACATAGTGTTTCCTCTAGTGAACTGTGTTATTGAAATAAAGATATACTTGACACATTTACCTGTCAGACTCAGCAGGGTTTATAGCCTCTTGAGGTGGCCATCGGATTACCAGGCCGACCACTTCCTTTTCTCTAGATGACCCTGACTTTGAGTCTTTCTAATGTAGGTGAACATAGCCAGTGTTTGAATCCATCTCTGCTTTTCAAATGAAGCTCTTTATTCTGCCATGTTAAAATAATTAAAAAACAAACAAACACCTAATATAAATTACATGTTCACTAACCTTAGAGCATTTGAAAATACAGAGAAGTGAAGGAAAAAAGTCAATTATATTCCCACCCCACGAAAGACTGTTACTGATAACATTCTGTGCTTTTCCTTCTAGTCTTAAAAAAATATCGATTTCTTTGCACAATTGTAGCCTCCCCAACACCCCTTAACATCAACATCATAACATAAACATTGTCCTGAGGTATTTCAGAATCTTCATTGTATTTGTGCTTTGGGTCCTGAATGTTGTTCATGTTAATCTCCTCCCACCTCCCAGGTAAAAAAGGAGCACAGGTTTCTTGGTTTGTTTAAGGAGCCATGAAAGTCCACTATCCCTCCTGTCTCTGTCCTCTTCTAGGAGTCTGAAGATTATGAGGCCGCTCTGCTGGAAAAGGCAGCCCTTTTGGCTGAGCTGCACTCAGAAAACCTCACCAAGAGTGCAGAGAACCACAGCCTGCGTAGAGACATGAAGAAGGTCACCCAGGAGCTGAGTGACTTGCAGCAGGAGAAGGAGAGACTGGAGAAGGACCTAGAGGCAGCCCGCCGGGAACAGAGCAGAGGAGACGGCACCATCCCTGTGAGCACACTGTTGGTTTCTGAAATAGTGGGCCATGCAGTGGGGCTGGGGCTGTTTCTGGCTTTAGTGAGTTCATTGTAGAAAACTTAGGAAATCCGAAAAATATAAAGGAGAACATATTTCACATACCATCTGATCACCTGGAAATGGCCAGTCTTAACTAGCGGATGTTTCTGTCCTTTTATTCTCTCTCTCTTTCTTTCTCTCCACTGCCCCCACAGGCATTATTGGTATCAAGCTGAAAATGCAGTTTTGTATCCTGTTTTTTTATTCAGTGTTCTCTCTTTGTTGTGTTGCCGTGTTATGAATGTTCTTCAAAAACATGTCTTTTTGTGCAAGCACAATATTTCATCACTTGGATGCGCTACAATTTATTTAACTAGTTGTTATTGTAGGACATTTAGGTTATTACACTTTTTTTCTTTTTGCCTCATAACAAATGCTGTAGCAAACATCCTTATAGATAAATATTTATCCACTGGTTTTTTGTCTTTTTTTTCCCTGATAGAGGTATAATTACTGGGTCAAAGAATGTGAATATTTTAAGATTGTTTTATAGATATACTCAAATTGTTCTCCAGGAAGATTATACTGTGTTTCCCTAGATGAGTGATTTTTTTTTTTAATACTATTCAGCATTGGGTGTTAGCATTAAAAAAATTCTCTCTGAGCTGGGCAGGCAAAAAATAGTTTATCTTTTAAAATTTGTATTACATTTAAATTAAGTATCCAGCATCCTGAGAGTCACGAGTACATAAGCATTGGTGCAGTCAGGTAGGATCAGGTCTGATTTTGAGTGATTATTGATACTCAGGGGTCATTAACACTAAGGGTCATTGACACTCAGGATCATTGACACTCAGGTCATCGACACTCAGGGTCACTGAATTACTTGCATGGGAATCTGGGGCAGGCAGAATCATTAGAGTACAGAGCTCAAAAAAGAGCCCACAAGGACCAGAGGTTAGCTCTCTGGTGGCTGCTGTTGGCCAGGATGCCAAGATCCATAGTTTGAAATCCTAATGCTAAGGCTGAACAGAGAATTGAAATACAGTGTTTATATAGTTTAACAAAATCTTTAATGACTATAAGAGAGCAATAATGGAAATTTAGAAGAGTAAGCAGTTGTCACCTATAATTTCACCACTCAAATAACGTAACTTTATTTTTCAGTATCACCCTTCAGTCCTGCTGCAGCTGGGCCCCCAATCTAATCAGAGGCTAAATACTGTCTGTGTTCTTGGATCACTTCCTGTGTCGTGGGCATCTCCCCAGATCACTTCCTCTGTCGTGGGCATTTCCCCAGGTCACTGCCACTGTCGTGGGCATCTTGCCATGTTGTGTAGACTCCAGAGTGATTATGTTAAATGATGCATACTCTTCTCTGAATAGATTTCATATGATTTACTTTACCTCCTCTGTTGGACATTTCTACTGTGTAAATAATGCTATAACGAACATCTTTAGGCATACAGGTGTTTTTTTCTTGAAATCCCTAGATAGATTATGAGACGTGAGATTACTGGGTCAAATACTGCAAATATTTTAAACTAGTTAATTATGCTGCCCAATTATTGGTCTAAAAGGCTGGTCCAGTTTATGTTGCCACCAGCAATATTAGAGTGTACCAGTTTATTGCGTGTTGTTAAAAGAGACGTTCCTTGTACTCATTCAATGTTATTGAACACCCAATATACCTGGTTTAGATGCTGATGGAAATACAAGGCATGGCCTCTGAAAGGTTCATTTTCCTGCGGGAGTTCAAAATGTTATACATGATAAGATGCAAAACAGTTTACAATCCAGAGCTAATTAATGTAGCTTATATAGACAGTGCAAAAGACCCCTGTGGGAAGGAGTAGTCAAGGAAGCCTCCTAGGAGGAGGTGATACTTGAATTGGATGAGAAGAGTAAGATTTGAGTAGTGCCTTTATGATTGAGGTAAAGACAAGACTGGCCAGAGGGTTCTTTTATAGAGGTGCAGTTTTCATAGTTAGCTCTTTCAGCCTTCACAGTTTTTTAGGTGAACAAAACTTGTTAGATAACAGTTTTTTTTTTTTCTTAAGGCTAAAATAGCTTGTCCCTGTTCTCCTTCACTGTCATCGTAAAAATATACCTTCAATAGAATTTGAATGAGGAGAATACACACACACACACACACACACACACACACACACACACACGTATGTCTATATATAAAATATATGATTTTTTTACATTATAACTTCTTCTTGATAATAAATAGCTAGATAACTCTATCAAGTGGATATGCTATAATTATTTACCTATTCCTCTATTGTCAGACGTTGTCGGTCTCATAATTTCACTTGTTCAGGTAAACCCTGGTGTTGCTGAAATAATTTTGGGCTGCTATTGATAAAAAGATGTAGTCTTAGGCAAAAAGTGACATTTATTGCCTTGTGTGACTAAACTCTGCCAGGAGGACGGGTGTGTGGCAATGGCCAGGACCGAGTCTCTGCCATTCTCAGAGCTGGCTTCTTTTTCCTGCACCCACTCACTCCAGTTCCAAGGAGTTGGGCCCGTCACTGCCAGCCCTGCTGGGATCCTGTCTTCCCAGTTTATTACCGAAGGGAGAGGGGAACTCACACCTCCCCACCCCACTGTCTGCCTATCAGGATGGCCAGAGGGGTGAGGTTCCGAGAGGCCCAACGTGGGTCACGTGCCCAACCATCATTGTCAGCTTCGTCTAGAACCGCGCATTTGGAGGGGATGGGCCGTTACCCAGTGAAAGCACTATTTTGTGTCAGGGCATCGGGCGGACCAAAACCACAGCTGTGCAGTAAATGCTTCCCTCAGGTGAGCTTGCCTGTGGCTAAGCTTCCCAGCAGCTCATCCTGACTACTTTTCTACATCAGGTCCTATGTTTCTGACAAGATGAAGTGGTTTCTTTGTTTTCGCATCTGGATTGCATCACGGTGGTACCTCTGTGTAACTTCCAGTTATATCCTAAGAGTTTGGTGGTGTGCATTTCCTATGAACGTCTTACACCAGATCTCGGGGTCATTGTTCAGAGTCTGGGAGACATGACGGGGTGGTGATTTTGCCTTGTGGTGCTGGGGTGCACGCAGAGGTGGGGCGTGGCTACTGACTGGCCTTGCTGTCTGTTCTGTTAGCTGGGCTCTTAGTCACTAGAGCCTGCCTCTCAGCAGCTGCTCCACTGTTGCTTTTAGATCCAAACAAACAGAAAACCAGACCTTTTAGTGGCCTGTGTTTCTGCCCTGGGAAAGGAGAGGATTCATTCGCATATTCAACAGCATTGAACACTGTGTGGGCCCTTCACGAGGCACGAGGCACGAGGCAAGCACGGCACAGGGACAGTCCCATAACAGACATAAACAAAGCCGCCCCTCCCCGGAGCACAGAGGAAGGAAGTGTCTTGCAGGCTCAGGGCAGGCCTCTGCAGAAAGCAACTTTTGAACTGGCTCTGAAGTTTGAGTTAAAGGTGACCCAATAGGCACCTTTAGGGGAGGGGGGATTTTGTACAGACATGTGAGAGTGATTGTTGTTTTTGGAGAAACAAAGCAAGAACACCCAACTTTAAGTATTCTGGTTATTTGAAGCTTTAAAAATGGTCATTTATTCCTCTTGGTGTTTCAAAAACATTTTTAGAGGTTTATGGGTAGTCATAAAATTAAATGAGATTCAAAACAAAGATAAAGGCCCTAGGGTCAAGGAGAAGTGAGGGTGACTGGTGGAATGGAACCAGTGAGTAAGTAGCCGTGCACATTGGGTTCTCGTCACAGTACTGAAAAGGGGACTTAAAGTGCAGCTGGTAGGTCCTGGCAGCTAAAAGTAGAAAGGGAAATTCAGTTACGAGGTCTCCAGTGTCTGTAAGATGAACATGGTGAGATAAAAAGGACAGCTCTTGCCAGCACTCAGGCCTGAGGGAAGGATTGCCTCTGGGGGATTTTATAAAGAGTTCTCTGAGCAGTGGATGCAGTCTTTGACAATACCCCATTCAATAAAAGCAATTCTGCACGGGGCCAGATCAATGTCATCCAGGTTGGTAAGCTTGTAAGCATTAAGGTTTTCAGTGCCTGGGACTGCGTCTGGCTGTTTCTCATTATTCTTGTTTCTTGGACAATTACAAAATCAGTGGGAACTGCTGTAGCCCTGTTCATAGTCGAGCCCTGACTCAAAGCCCTGTTTATAAATGAGCCCTGACTCAAAGCCTTTGCAGTGGCCCCCAGTCAAGCAGTACTGGATTTTAGAGCGTTCCCTGAATTCCTTCTGATGGTGAGCCAAGCAGTCCTGTTTTGGATGTGACCAAACCATCCTTTGGTCGTGCCAGAAACATTTATGGCAATCTCATCGTGTCTGCTCTTAAGCATTTCGGAGGGAGACGATGCCTGTCTGAAATGCAGCTTGGTTAGAGGCGTGTGAATTCACTGTGCCTGATGGTGCCTGAACGCTGAGCAATCCGGCCATGAGGGTCAGTTCTCATGTTTTAATTGCCTGTGATGGAAGTGCTCTAGTGCCAGTTGACTCAGCATGTGTTGTGATTTGCAGTTTATTCATTTGTTTATCCAAAGGGACATTTATTGAGTGCCTGCAGTGGTGCAGGCGCTGTTGGTAGGCATTGGTGAATACAAGTTTGTTTCTTTACTTTGGAGGTCTTTTTACAATGAGCAAGTTCAAAAAGTGAGATTCTCTCAGATAGATCCCCTTCATTGTATTATACCTCCTTGCCACCAGAGGGACCCATGTCCCTTCAACAAAAAACAAACAAACCCTCCCCACCCCCAGTATTCCCAAGTCAGCGTCCTCACTGAGATGTTTAAAGTGTCCTAGCTTCTGTGGCCTGTGACAGGAATGCTGCATGAATTCTCACATCCTTTCCCTCACATCTCAGACTTTGATCCATGGTGTGGCTCCAGAGAGACGGAAGGCTGTCCTTTGAGCGTGCGCGTGCGCGCGCGTGTGTTTGATGAAGGGGATAGAAAGCGCTAAATCTTTATTTCAGATGTGCTATTTCTGGT